GGACGGCTAATATTTTGTTGTGATAGCTAAATATTTTGTCACTGTTGTGTTGGGTGCGGCAGCAAACCGTCTGTGGTTTAGAAATTTACAGTTACGGCAGCAAAATATTTTTAGCAAGCCGTGATTAGCTACGCAGACGCGAAGTTGTTTGAATTAAACGCTGACGTCACGGGCTGCCACAAACATAAATAATTCCCTCAATTGTACTTGCTGCGGATTGTAATTTTAAGCATTGAACTAAATATCCAGATCATTGAGACAACCATCTGATTTTTCATTCGTTACTGATATTGTTTCAACGATTTCATTTCAATTACACCGATCTTGTTGATATATTGGTTTTTTCCGTGTACAGTAGCGAAAAGTTTTTTTCATCGCGGAAGTTAGGAAATGAAAGGACCGATCAAAGTTGTCGTCTGCAAGACTACTCGTGCCATGCTATCGTCGCGCGGCGAAACGACGTTCTACGCGCGATTTACGTAAGGCAGAAACTGCAAACGCGAAACGTTCCGAATGAAAGCTCTCGCGCAGTTAAGGGAAAGGGCTCGATCGAAACATCTCTAGAGAAAAATTAATGAATAAAGCTTTGAATCTTCCTCGTTTATATAAAGTCTTTAAACCGCGACTTTTTGTCAACGAGGACAGAGCTGCCCGATTGTTGACACTCAAGCGGCTCAAGTTAGATCTGCTGAGTGCGCACATAACTTCCTCGCGAAATGAAATGTATGGGGAAAAACCGTTAATTAGACGTCTAACGCTGCCTCGCATATTCTCGTCTGGTTCCAGTTCCGCAAGTTCAGTTAAATTTAGTTAAATTTCTTCAAGCGCGATGCACGCGTCTGCCGCAGATCTGAGCCGCCTGGTGACATTTCTACGACGACCCCCGCGAAACTTGAACGTCAACATCGCGAGATCCCGCGGCACGCGACAAAACTTTTCCCCAAGTCGTCCGCGACAGGTCTTTCAACGATCGAATTGGTTCTTGTTAATTTCTTTCGTTTTATTTCATTAGCATTTTCCAAGGAAAATCCGGTTTAAAACCAATGGCTTTAAACCAGAGACAAAAGAGCGTAAGTGGGGCTTGCGCATTCTAGCGATCACGAAGAGATTAGTGAAACGGATCGATTAAAATTCACCAATTTCTCGTTTCAGACACGATGAGGATTAAATTCCAATGTTCGATGCGCTGGACATGTAAATCGTCTGTAATCGTTTGACGTTCTTAATTATCTGGCAGCTGCCATTAATCGTGCACGCGACGCTGACTATTTATCATATCCGAAACGTATTATCGTAAAGGCCATTCCGGACCGGCCGTCTGAACGTAATTATCTCAAGCAGAACAGTGCTAAGTCGGCATTAGGCAAATCTAATCGTCGGTTATTATTTGCCGGATATAATCTCAGCGAGTTCAACTTTATCGACGCGATGCCAATTGTAAAATTATCGCTACACGGAGTAAACACGGACGTCCATTGTTTTCGGCATTATTTTCGAAATTTAGATTAATCCAATTAAAACCTTCGAGTTTATATACAAACAAATTATATAAGATAAATATTTTTGTAGTTTGTGGCATCGATTCATCTGTGTAAAAACAGTTCACGCACACGTGTTCAATTATCAATAGATACGGAGGCACAGCTGCGATAAAAACAAAGCGATGAAAAAAGGATTCAGGACTTTAAAGCCAGATAGCACTCGTGGAGAAATAAACACAGGTCGAAAAAAAAAAATTTTATAAACAGACGGGAATTTTTGAAAGAGCTCGCGATTCTGTGGTACAAAAATGTGGGGCATACGTGGAAATGACCTCTTGTAAACTTTTTGGAGTTTGAAAAATTCTTTTTTCCTCTGACTAAATGGAAGTTACTTTAACCAAAATGAAGAACTGCTCATAACTCCGAAAATATTAATTGCTCGTTAACTGGAATTTTTTCGCTCCACTTCACGAGTACTATCTGTCTTCTCTCTTGAAGTCCTGGACTCTTTTAACACCTTGTACATACACCCACACAGAGAGAATTTTCTCCTCAAAATTTATCCTGGAGACCATGTAATCAACATTTCGAAGAATTTTTTGAGTTTTTGAAAGTTTAATTGTGAAGTTTTTAAATTTCAAAAACTCATAAAACTCTTCGAAATGCCATGCTATCCCATAATTACATGATTTTCAGGGTAAATTTTAAGAGAAAAATATCTCCATGTACAGTACCCTCCATAAGTTTGGAAACACCCTATATTTTACAGATAAATAGTGGCACAGCAGCGATCTGTGCACATGTTTGATATAAATATGTCATAAGTCGTTTAAATAACGATAAAATTACGATACGTTTAAATAACCAATTAACAGGAGGATTCGCAAAGAACTAATTACGAGTGAAGTGCATCTCTGGGAGAATCTCCAGCAAGAATGGAAACGAATCCCGACTGAATCTCTGCAAAAGTTAATCTATCGCATGCCGCGAGTATGCAAGGCAGTCATTAAAGCAAAAGGTGGTGACTTTAAGGAATCTAAAATTCAATTTAAACTAGGCGATACAAGCGCGCGCCATTTGCTCTCTCTAAAAATTCGCATAGTTTAACAGCTGCAAATAACACGACTGAAGCATGTCGTATCGCGCAAACAAGACAGCCAATCAGCATCTCGGAAAAGCGACAATACTTCGAGACTTTCGACTATCGACTTGACACGCCATGTAATAGATCTTTGTTAAAAGCTTGTCGTATGTACGTATCTTCGTTTTAATTTTCTTTAAACACTTACAAAGCAAAATACATCGATTATAGTATGCATTTCTTTCATATTACACACTTTTATAAAGTGTTTCCAAACTTATGGAGGGTACTGTACTTGTATATAATTCAATCACATATGTATGTGTAGGTCTAATCAAGATATCTCTGGCATTGAAGTAATTACGTGATATTGATAAATGAATCTCTAACGATTGCGCTCAAAGTCTCAAACCGGCAAGCTGTGCAATAGAGGTGCGACATTTTCATGTTGTTTTTTGGTAACTTTTGCGTTTTGTTTTTCCAGATTTTGCGTTGTTTTGATGTTATTTTTGGCATCTTCTGCGTTTTGTTTTTCCAGATTTTGCGTTATTTTCATGTTATTTTTTGGCACATTTTGCGTTTCGTTTTTCCGGATTTTGCATTATTTTGACAATGTTTTTGATAATGCCGTGGTCAGAGGTGGGCAGGGCTTCAATAAGACGACTTAGGACTTCTAACTGTTACTTTAGAAAGAGGCAAAGAACGAATTAAGCTAAGCTTAAAGCTAAACAACGTTGGTGAAACCGGGCCTTAATGTTTTGATAGAACAATTTACGACATTAATTAAGGTTAAACATATGTTGGAAAACGTAACATAAAACACAACATATTAAAATAGCATGGAACAAATTACTGAAATTACATATCATTTTCAGGCTATTAAGGGAGGAGCCTACTTTAGAAGGCCGAAAATAATGTGTCTTTTAAGAATTTTTTTCTAAAGGAACAATAATGTTTAGGTTTCTAACACGTTTAGGATGTTTTAATACAACATTTGAACTACAGATACAAATTTCTTCAATAAAAAAAAGTTACATTTCACTAAGTAATTTAATATTAACTTTCGTGCGTCGCCATCGGAGTTGCGCCACTGTGTACAGCCTAGCGTCCTCAATTCTAGTCTAAATAAAAAATCAAGTATATATTTAATTGTCATATAATTTTACCCTATGTAAAAAAAAAATTTTTTAAAGTAGAAAACTTCAAATTCTGTACGACTTGGAAGAAAAAGTAACGATTTTCTCGAGGCAATATCCATTCGTTTATGCAAAAAATAAATAGTTTAAAGTGACTTTTTATTAATTTTTGTGGTTTACCGAGGATGGTTGACTATTATCTAATTAAAAATCTTTGAACGAAGTTGATAGGTCAAATAGTTTTTTCTTAATCGTGTAGGTACACAAAATTAGAGAACTCCAATGGCGACGCACGAAAGTTAACATTAAATTACTTAGTGAAAATGTAACTTTTTTTTATTGAAGAAATTTGTATCTGTAGTTCAAATGTTGTATTAAAACATCCTAAACGTGTTAGAAACCTAAACATTATTGTTCCTTTAGAAAAAAATTCTTAAAAGACACGTTATTTTCGGCCTTCTAAAGTAGGCTCCCCCCTTAAAGCAGTAACATGTCAGAAAGGAGTAAACAAAAACTAGTCCTAGGCATAAATCTCTTTGGTTTAGGATACAACACTGACGTTACAAATGTTTGCTAAGGAAAATTGGGATTTTTTACGTTATCTGGACACTATTTTGCGTTTTAAAAACTTGTTAAAACAAAGTTGGGGACTCCAAAATGTAAAGAAATGACGTTAAAAGCGTTCCTGGGGCATTTTGGGTATAAAGATAACATCAAAATGTCACACCTCTAGTATAGACCAATAGACAAGATTGCGTGTGTCAACAGACACGCGCGCGCGCGCACGCACGCAGGGAGACGATTTTCGCGTGTCGCGTTCGGAAATCGGAGGAAGCCCCACACAGCCGGCCTGGTTCTCGCAATTCGCGACGGCCGATCGTCGCTAACGAGGTATAATCGTCGCACGCTCTTTTCCCGCTACGCAGAATCCACGATCTCTCGCGATTTCGATCTACGCTCCGTCCACCGCCTCTCCGTCTCGCCGCTCCGCGCGAGCGTCTCCTGGCACCAGCGCCTGCTCCGCTCCGCGCCGCGCCGCGCCGCGCCGCCAGGTCACTCGCTCGCTCACTCGCTCGCGCAGCGAGATGGGTGTGCCATGCGGGAGCGAGCGTCCTGTGCAGATTCCGCGCGTGTTGACAGAACGCTGGAAAATCCACGCCCCCGTCGCCGGTCGCCGGTCGCGTCGTCCTTCGTCGCGGAATCAATCGCCCTCGCCGCGCCGCGCCGCGCCGCGGCGCAGCGCGAAGCGACGCGACGCGACGCGACGTAAAACGTCATCGACGTCAGCTCGTTGGCACTCACCTCGCGCTCTCGAATCCGGGATCCCGAGCTACGATGCTACCGACGACATGCCTCGGCCTGCCGCCGTTCGATCTTGGCCGTCTAGGCGGGCCGAGTTTCACGACGACGACGCGTGGGGACGAAGCGCGAAAGAGACGGACGGAAGAGGAAAAAGAGAGAGAGAGAGAGGTTCCGTCGTCTACGTATCTCCCTTTCGTGCACGGCGCGGGTACGCGCGCACCGGTTACGAGGCACTAGGCACCGCGACTAGACACACACCCACCCACACAGGCACAGATACGCGCACACACGCGACGCCTCGTCGCCCCCTCGCTCGCACTTCGTAATGGCAGCGACGAGCGGGGCAGTTCCGCAGCAGCTTACGCACGCATGCAGGCAGGCAAGAACGGGCAATGGCAAGCGCAGGTCAGGCGGATAGGCGGACATGCAGGCACGCACGCACGCACGCACGCACGCTCCCGTGTCGTTTCTCGCTGCCGCCGGCTACGCCCAACAACGCGCGTCGATCGGGGCTCCGTCGCGGGCGCGATGCGCGCGATGCATCGCGGGGGCCGACCGCGGGACGACGAGCGCGAACGGAGGGAACGGCGCGGCGCGGCGCGGCGGTGCGCCGTTCGACGCGACGGAGCTCGGTCGAGTGTACCGCGCGGCGCCTCGGCCCAGCCCGCGTCCCGAGGGATGGAGAGCGTAGCTACCGCTCGGCGGACCGTACCCAACGGAGACGACGCTGCGAAACAACGGCGACGACGACAACGGCTGCGAGGCGACGTACCGCTCTGCCCGCACCACCAGATCAGAACCCCGACGTTGTTGTCCGTCGCGCGACGCATTGAGCACTGACTCGGCGCGGGCGCACTGCTGCCAACGCGGCGGACGTGAACTCTGGCCGGCCTGAATCACGGCGCTGCGCCACGTGCAGGGCCGCGCCTAGCGGACCTCGCGCCCCCGGGCCGCGGTCCCGCAAATTTTCGTCAATTTCATGCCATATTGATGAAAAAGAAATTAAGGATGACGTCAATATGACATCAAATTGACCAAAATTTGACATAAATTTGGTCAATGTGACATCAAATTGACATCATCCTGACTTTTTCTTCTCCTTGGGCACACGTAAATTAGATAAGCTATAGAGCCACGCATCACAAAGGGCCTCCTCGACACAGACTAGAAAAGATTTAAAAAACGCATGTTTTGTTAATAAAGTTGGTATTAAAGTACTAAAAATTATTTTTTGTTACTGTGGCCTATTTTTGATCAATTATTACTTTTGCTCGTCCAAGCTTACTGGTTGCGGAAACATGTGAGAAGCGAGGGGCTTCTGAAAAATTATAACGCAAGAGCAAAATCGTAGACCCGGAGTGTACCATTTTATCCTTGTTTAACATTCGGTGAACAACGGGGATCAACTGATACGCCGGGGCACTCGAGTGATGATAATTTCCGAATGCAGCCTCGCTCGCGACTGACGGGTGCGCTGCTCCCCGGATCTTCAGTTTCTTCCGAGGGAGAACCAGCGAGAGAAACGCCCCGCGTTTCAAACGGCCAACTCCCGCCGATGCTTCGGATCCGATTTACGCGCATATTTTCAAAACAATAACTCACCACGTCGAGATAAAGGGGAGACGATAAGGCATTTTAGAAATTAATCCGCCGATAAAGGCAGATAATTCATTATCGATTCTTATTACTGCATTCTTTTCCGAATTAATACAAGGTTTTTCTATGATCGTTTCCTCCGTGTACGCTCGAGATAACAATTTCGTAAACGAGACACAGGCAGGTAGATGCCAGGAAAGGTTTCAAAGTTAATTCGCGTTTCTCGATTCATTCGCACGCGAGCGATCCGAGCGACTCATCCGCTTTCGTCGAAACGAAATCCACCGATAACGAAACGCATTCCCGTCTCGTTTCACGCGAAACTCGCGAACGCGCGCGTTTAACATCCGCGCGATTCGATAAACTTGTCGCGGAATATATTTTTTTTTCTATTTCGAATCTAGGATCGACGCCGCCGAGTACCGAGTCACTTTCGACGCGCGTGAAAATTCCACGCTCTAATCACATATCGCTCGCGTCCCCGCACTCGCGCCTCGGACCCCAATCGTTGCAAATTTAAATGATCGTAGAGAGCGAGAGAGAGAGAGAGAGAGAGAAAGACATAACGATTCTATTGAAGCTTCTCTTACGCAATAACGAGTGATTTTATCGCCTCCTCGGGAGGCATACATAGGTAATTCTGCGGCGACGACCATTATATCATAGCGCTGGCAATACTCATTGGCGTATTGACAGCGTTTCATCCCATTGTCACTCTACGCCGACATTGTTCGGCGTCGAGACTCGGCGTTGACGGCGCTGAAATGTAAGCCGAGACGCTATCAACCGAACGGGATGACAGCATCGAAGATAAGAAAACCGAGCCGTCGTGCGATCGCGTACGTTTTCAAGAGGCTCGCGGGTTAATTGGCGCTCGCCTTTGTGGCGAAACTGAAAGAGGTCCGCCAAGCGGAATTCTTTTATCTCGAAATACGATCGAAATAGAGAGACGTCGATTTCGATGCGTAACAGTGACGATAAGATTAATGATGAACACCGGCCTCCTGAATGTGATCGCGTCAATATTAGCTTGTCTCGTAAACGTTCAACTCGACAATCAGGAATTCTAGATTCGTATCGTACTCGGAGTAAAACGCGTGATGCGAGATTAAAACAATGAATTTTTTTACAAATTTTACAAACACTGTTAGATCGTGTAATCGTTGCGAAAAGAGATTTGTGATTGAACTTGGAATCCTATCTCAGAATAGAGAACTTTCCTTTACATACAATTATTTTGGCGTGAAAGTCATTTGAATCATTATGACCTTCGATTTGAAAATATGTCATTTTCCATCTAATGTTTCCTTTACATTCAAGAAAATTTTTCTTAAATAATAAGCATACTTATCTTTTTTTTATTCAATCGTATAAAATTGCTTTCTTCATGTCAGTTTTTCTCCCTTCAATAATCTCATTTCAAGATTTTCATGTTGAAACCAGACATATTGTCAAAAGAAGAATATTCTTCCTTTCTACGCACCTTCGATTTGAAAATATGTCATTTTCCATATAATGTTTCCTTTATATTCAAGAAATTTTTTCCTAAATAATAAGCATATCTTTTTTTTCAATCGTATAAAATTGCTTTCCTCATGTCAGTTTTTCTTTCTTTAATAATCTCATTTCAAGATTTTCACGTTGACACCAGACATATTGTCAAAAGAAGAATATTCTTCCTTTCTACGCACCTTCGATTTGAAAATATGTCATTTTCCATCTAATGTTTCCTTTACACTCAAGAAAAATTTTCTTAAATAATAAGCATATCTTTTTTTTCAATCGTATAAAATTGCTTTCCTCATGTCAGTTTTTCTCCCTTCGATAATCTCATTTCAAGATTTTCACGTTGAAACCAGACATACTGTCAAAAGAAGAATATTCTTCCTTTCTACGCACGGGCCCGGCCAGCGCGGAGCGTCGGGCGTCCCACAGGTTGGCAGTGGCACCGGACGGACGGTGCCTGGCCACTCGCGAGTGGAGGCGGGAGGGAAAGGTCGCGCGGCCGCGAGTGCAGCTGCACCCGGGTGACGTACGGCCAGTGTAGCGGGGTGACCGGTGGCCAAGCTGCTAGGGGCATCGGGGGGTACCAGAGCCCTGCATGCTCCAAACGCAGTCGCGCGCGTTCGTGGCGCGCGAATCCGCACACGCTACTTTGCTTCCGAACAACAACGGGCCTTTTGCTTTCTTCGCCTGGCTCCCCCCCTCCTCGCACCACCCCGCCTCCCCCAGGCGTACATCCGTCGGGGCCCGGGGGCGACGACGTTGCTCGACGACTCGCAACACTTGGCGATATACAGGGCGGACCGACGAGGCTTCCATACCCCGCGCGACTTGCCCCTCCCCTCCGGCCCTCGCGTGAATTATCGTTGAGTTATCGGTGATTCATGTGCGAGAGAATCCACATGCACACGCGACGCGCGAAATGCAGGAAAACGCGAAGATGGTATCTGATCACTTTTGCGACGCGCTACCGCTCGAACATCGATCCTCCAGATCGTTGGTGGAGTCGGTTTCCCCTCGGCGAAAATACGACGTATATTTCACGGGTAATTAAACGCGTTCGTTACACCGCGATGAAATTAGCCCACTTCCTTCCGGGATGTTTCTTTCTGTCACGAGATTTTGTGGGCCGTCATTGCGGCGCGTTTAAAATACATTGTGTACATACAAAAATTGACTACAAACAGGCCTTAGTGTGCACTCAGCGCGCACTAGAGTGCCAGCGATCGAATTCGCTATTATATTTATGGTCATTTCAAATACACGTTCAAGAGCTATTTAGCCAAAAAAAGAAATGATGCGGATGCTGTACGGTTCGCTCTGCTGGCTAGGAAGTATTTCAAGAGGTGTTTAAGACGATCCTTAAATATAAGAATAGACTGTAAACAAGCCTCCCAAGCGCGCACTAGCGCAAGCAACCGAATTCGCTATGAATCATGTGTTGCACTAGAGGTGGATTTCGCGTTTCGCGCGCTCAAGCAAATCGTCGTTCGGTCAAAAAAAAAAGAAGAAATGAGCGACCGTGTGCGAGCGGAGCACTTATATTAGCGCATCGACAAAAATAGCCCACTCCAGCGCGCACAAACACATACGTGTAAACTACTTTTATATATATATATATATATATATATATACATTATATTTGCGCGATATACATATATATAATTGCAAACGGTCGCGGGAGAAACGTGTTTCGCTCTTGCCCCTCTGCGAACGCTCGTAGAACTCGCATTCCGCGCCGATTACAAAAGTGGGCTTTAAATCGCCTCGCGCCGCGCGGCCGCGATTCGGCGAGCTATGACGCGCGCCGGATTGTGACGCGCGGTGGCCGGTTTGGAAACAGTCCCGCATGCCTGCGCGACGACGTAAACACTATCGCGCGCAGCTAATGGGGCATCGCGTACGTACGCGCCGCGTATACGCGGAATTAATGGGTTTTCGATCGCACGCGGCGCGGGGCCTCGCGCTGACTCATTACGCCCGCGATTGCGCTCGAATCGATATGCCTACGTACGCGGGCTCGTTTGAAAAGTTGTCGGAATGAAGTTACAGACGGATGTCGCGCGCGCACGGACGCCACATGGGAAATCCCATCGAAATTTCTACGCACGCGCGTTATAAAGTTCCATTTCGTTCCGATTATCGAATATATCCGCTTTTGTGTAGTGCTTTGAACGAACTTTGCTATTTTATATCCGAGAATTGATAGCGAATTCGGTTGCTTGCACTAGCGCGCGCTAAGTGCACACTGAGGCTTGTTTATGGTCCGTTCTTATATTTAACTTTGTCTTAAATGCATGTTCAAAGAGTATTTAGTCAAAAAATGATTGTTATAAACGTTGCACAGACCATTTTTCTGGGATAAGAAATATTGCAAGAGGAACAAGGCTTAGTGTGCACTCAGTGCAACCGGATTCGCTATAAGATACGATTTCTTGTTGTTGCATCCTCCCCATTCGCCTCTGACTTACAATTAGCTCGGTCGGACTTCTGCCTGTTCCCACGGTTAAAGAAAC